CCCCACCAAGAGAAAGAGTGGGTGAAAAAAATAAATTTTAACATTTTGCATTAAATAATACCTCAGATTAAAGTTAGGATAATATAATTGACATTGCTGGATTCCTTGTAACACCAGGAATATTTTGAATATAAACGTCATATATTTTGCACAAAAGATAACATACTTACTCAGATTAAACATTTTATCTAAAAATTTTATGTCTAATGCAAAATATATGATGTTTATATTCAAAATGATCATCAAATTATAAGAATTCCAGCAATGTAAATTATATTCTGACTGGGTAATTTGTATGAATTTTATGAGCTAAAACAAATATCTTCAGTTAATAAAAAAAAAAAAATTTTTCACGGGGTAACAGATGGTCGGTCGGTCCCTCCCTCCCCCCCACCCCCCACCAACCGTCCCAAGGAGATGTGTGGGAAAACCAGAATACTTAACTTTTTTGTAATAAATAATACCTCAAACTAAAGTTAGGATAATATAATTGACATTGCTGGATTCCTTGTACTACCAGGAATATTTTGAATATAAACGTCATATATTTTGCACAAAAGATAACATAGTTACCCAGAGAAAAAATGTTATCTAAAATTTGTATGTCTAATGCAAAATCTATGATGTTATATTCAAAATGATCATCAAATTGTAAGAATTCCAGCAATGTAAATTATATTCTGGCCGGATAATTTGTATGAATTTTATGAGCTAAATTAAAAAAAATTATACTTCACCGTGTAAAGGGGTACATCCACCGCGGAATGTGAGCATCCTGGGTTCTGGCAGGGCACCGCGTAAACGTGGAAACGCGGAATGTGGGACCGCGTAAAGTGAGGGTTGACTGTATACCATAAAACAATTGATTTAACTAATATTATTGATATACAGTGACCCCTCGGTTAACGAACTCAATCCGTTCCAGAAGGTCGTTCGTTAACCGAAAAGTTCGTTAACCGAAACCATTGTTTCAATGGGTTTTTGGGTAATTGGTTCCAGCTCACCGAAAATTTCCTAAATTCAACAAAAATGGTAGAAAAGTTCACTTACTTTGAGGTGTGTATGTAGAAGGCTCCTGGATGATGATGATGGGAATTAGAATGGGGGTGGAGGAGAAGGAAGAAGAAAAGGCATTGGGGTGGAAGAGAAGTCACCCCATGGCACCATTTCATCCATAAAATTTTAGTTCTCTTGGTGTATTTCAAGATTATTTTCTTTAAATCAACACTGCACTGCATTATATATTGTCAATATGTAAAATATATTTCAAAATGACCAATAATTTGCTTGGAAACACAGAAAAAAAGCATTTAGTTGAAGAGTCTCAAGCAAGATGTTACCTCCACTGAAAACAGAGAGAGACTAACGCCTGTCTGGTGTGTTAACAGGCTGGATGGCACGCCAGAAACTAGTTTCTTTACCTTCAATTATGTTCAATAATTGTTAAAATGACTAAAAAAGTTAATATTAAACTTTTAAAATTATTGAATAGTATAAACTTCTTGATATTTACTAAAATAGTAAGGAATTTAAGCTCTAGAACCGATTAATGTATTGGCGGACTGATACTAAAGCTGGTTGCCCGGTCAGTGCAAGCGAAAACATGTTGAGGTCGGTTCGTAAGAAATTCGTTAACCGAATTTTTGTTCGTTACCGAATTGAAGATCCTTATGGAAGGCAGTTTGTTAACCGAAATTTCGCTAACCGAGGCGTTCGTTAAACGAGGGGTCACTGTACTGCGAAAAATACGCTTATTTACTTACTCAGTAGGTAAAACATAAAAAATAAACGGCTGCAGCTACACAACCCTTGCTGCTGTGCGGTTTGTTTACTAATAATGGCAGTGGTGCGACAGCGCCATATATTGAGGAATTGCGAAAGGTTGTCTGCTGGTCTCAAAGCGCAGGAATTTTTGTTTCTTCACACCAAAAATTTTAATTTAACTGATTTTTATCGAGCTGCTTTTTTACTTTTAATTATTTGTTTTAAAATAAAGATTTTTTTTCTTTAGACGTTGATATACATGTTTACATTTGCTTACCTTCTACTGTTGGAAAATATTTCCCGTCGTCATACCGACAAAAACAAGGGAAAGAATGTAAACACTACAGCCCGCTAGATGCGGAGGTGACCAGGTGTATAAAATGAGTGCTGTATTAAAGATTTCCACTTCTTATACAGATTTTTTTTTTTAATTTACGAAAATGACGACTGATCAGCAGTTCTAAGTGATGATATTCAAAGAGATGTGTGTACCAAAAGGGCTGTATATCAAGCAATTGTTTCACTTGTGTCGGTTAGTAAGTATAAAAAGTTTTTTACCTAGAATTACATTTCCAAAATCAGGGTGCGTCTTCTACGCCGCAAAATACAGAACTTATTTTTACCCGCAATAAGGCATACTAAGATAAATTTCGTATCAGTAATACTACATTTTGCAAAAACAAGATTTTTAAAGATCAGAATCACATTGAAATATTACGCGACTGTCAACAGAGGCAGGAAATAGGACTGCAAACAACTTTATATTTTTTCCGCCCCTACTAACGGTCGTGTAATATTTCAATGTGATTCTGATCTTTGAAAATTTTGTTTTTGCAAAATGTAGTATTACTGATACGAAATTTATCCTAGTATGCCTTATTGTGGGTAAAAATAAGTACTGTACAGTGGGGTATGCTATAACGAATCTAATTGGTTCTAGAACCTTGTTCGTTATAGCATTCGTTTGTTATAGGATTAATCCGTTCCAGGCCCCCAAATACAACCACTTAACACTGAAAAATATAATATAAAATTGTAAAAATTGTAAAAAAGTGCATAAATATGCATCTAAACCCCTGAAATAAAGAATATCATTAATATTTGTAATAATAAAACAATAAATTAGAAAAAAAAAAAAAAAATTAAATTATGTTCGTTGTAGGAGTTTCGTTCGTTATAGCATTCTCAATTTTATAGGTAAAACCGTTCGTTATAGGAATATTCGTAGTAGGATCCGTTCGTTATAGCATACCCCACTGTATACAGTTGAACCTCGATTTACGCAGTTCTCGTTTACATGTTTGGTCATTAACGCGGTACCTTGCCAGAACCGGGATGCCCGATTTACGCGGTGAATTTCCCCATTTACGCGGGTGAAGTTTAATTTGTTTATTTACTGAAAATATATATGTTTTTAGCTCATAAAATATATAATTTACATTGCTGGAACCCTTACAAGATGGTGATCATTTTAAATATAAACATCTTAACATTTGCATTAGACATACAAATTTTAGATGTAATTTAAGGAGATCATGAAAATAAGCAAATATTTTATCTTTTGTGCAAAATATATGAAGTTTTCATTCAAAGTATTCCCTGACCTGCAAGGAATCCAGAAATATCAATTATATTATCCTAACTTTAGTCTGAGGTATTATTTATTACTAAAAATGTAAATATACTGTTTTCCCCAAACATTTCTCTGGTAGGGAGGGAAGGTGGGGTATGGGGGGTAAGGAGGGACCCAGCGAGCGTGGGAAGAGCGGAGGTGGGGTATTTTTATTGACAGATAGTGTCTGGGTGAATAATAATTTGTTTATTTACTAAAGATATTTTGTTTTTGTTCATAAAATTCTTACAAATTTCCTGGCCACAATATAATTTACATTGCTGGAATTCTTATAAGATTTTGATTATTTTAAATATAAACATCATGGAATTTGCATTAGACATACAAATTTTAGATCTAATTTAAGAATTTTGATTACAAAGCCAAAATTTTATCTTTTGTGCAAAATATATGACATTTATATTCAAAATATTCCTGACCTGCAAGGAATCCAGCAATGTCAATTATATTATCCTAACTTTAGTCTGAGGTATTATTTATTACTCTACCTTAAAATCTAGTGTTTTCACCCAAGTATTTCTCAGAGAGAGAGGAGCCAGCGAGCGTGGGAAGAGGGGGGGGGGGGATGGGAGTTGAGTCCATTATTTGAATGGACATTAACTTGGTGACTGTATTTCTCTTAAATATTAATTGTGTGTGCATACCATCATAAAATTAAGATGTTATTTTTACTACAACTTGGTATTATGTTTGTATTGTGTCGGAAAAAGTGGAGTTTGGGAGTCGGCCCAGTCTCTATTTCAATTAATCCCAGACTAAAGTTAGGAGAATAAATCAAATTTGCATTGCTGGAATCCTTGCAATACAGCGAATAATTGGAATATAAACGTCATATATTTTGCACAGGAGATAAAATTTTTAGCCCTTTGTAATAAAATTAATTAGAACGTGTCAGTTCAGTGACATTTTATAAGAAAAAAAACTTAGTCACTCTTAAGGACAGATAAATAAATAAGCACTAGACCTTGGCATCAACTGTCAAACATATCACCTCACCTATCCTCCCCCCCTCCTCCCCAATCTTCCCATCAGCTTATCACTAGTAAACAGATCATTTCACGTCCCATAATTTTAGCTGTGTTGATTTATGAGTGTTTGTTTTAACACAATACCACAAAAAACAATGTTTTGTTTATTCTAGGAGAAGGGCTGAGGTGCATCTGGGTAGACTGTCAGTCATTTTAGTACAGTATTTTGTGTTTCTCTCAAGCACCAAACTAATTATTCCATTGAAACAACACTTCGATTTAGTGCGAATTTGGTTTAAAGCGACCTCTTTTGGAACGTATCTTGTGTTATATCGACGTTCTACTGTACTGTGCATTGTTGGATTTATTGAGGGATCCTAAGACTGAGGTTCGACTAACCAGTAAATCTCTTTTTCCATTACCTCTCAATCCCTATAGGTACCGGATAACCTGGGTTCTACTGTCTTCTATAATACTTATTTCATAATTGTTAAACTTTAACTGCATTTTCTGGTGTATTATTCTTTTGTTGTTTGTCTACCTCTGTCATGAAGTGACTCATATAACTACAGCTGTTATTTAGAACTTATTTTTTGGTATACTGTACTGTACAGTGTTTGATTTTTCTCTCCCAGAATGGATCCGTTGTGCAACTCAGCATATCATCTGATGAAAGTTTAATTGCCTGTGCACTAAGTAATGGAACTGTTGAGATATTTGAGGTAAGTTATCCCATAGCAGTTTGTGTGAATTTACAGATTCAGGGACAGTTAAAATAGTAATGAATTAAGAGTAGTTATTTCTTTCTAGGATAGCCTCTCAGAAATAAATATGTACAGTGCAATTCCTTTTATCCAAATTCCAACTACTGTATAATACAGTGTATCTTAATCTTCCAGGTATCCGAACTTTTGTCTCCTTTGGTTCCATTCAATTGAAACTTAATTTAGTCCAGCAATCAGAAAGCAATTGAAGTAACTCATTCACTTATCTACCACCAGTGGTATGACACAGTTCAGATAGGCTGTTTGTCATCTGACTCTAGAATACATAATCACTATTAGGAATTCAATTTTTCTGATCCAAATGTATGGGAAGAAACTTAATAAATTTTACTTTTTGCATAACTATATAATATACAATACTGTACAGTACAGTGAACCCTCACTTTACGCGGTCAATTAAACCCACGGCGGCCCGCGTAAAGTGAACAACATAACATATGGGATTAATTGAAATAGAGACCGGGCCGACCCCCAAACTCCACTTTTTCAGACACAATACCTACGTTGTAGTAAAAATAACTTCTTAATTTTATGATGGTATGCACATACAATTAATAATTAAGAGAAATATCAATAATATTAGGTTTTTTAACACTTACATTAGTAGAAAAGATGCCTGGGCACACGGGGATGGGGGGTTGGTTCCAAGGCAGAGGGCAGATTATTGGCCCTCACCTGTATCACTTGTATCAATTGTATTACTATCCACCACAGAGGCTTGCAGGGCCTCTTTGTCAAACCCCTCAAAGTCCATATAAGTCCATATCATCACTATCACTGACTTGGGCCGGCTGTGGTGGGTGGCGGGTGAAGAACTTGGTAATGTTTTGATGACTGGGCGACCTTGTGCACACCCTACTCGCGCCGCTCTCCGCGTAAAAGGGTACACACACCGCGGAAAGTGAGCATTCAGTGTTCGGCAGGGTGCCGCGTAAACGTGGAAACGCGTAAAGTATAATTATTTATTTAGCTCATAAAATTCATACAAATTACCCGGCCAGAATATAATTTACATTGCTGGAATTCTTACAATATGATGATCATTTGGAATATAAACATGGATTTTGCATTAGATATACAAATTTTAGATCTAATGTAAGAATTTTCCTTACAAATAGCCAACATTTTATCTTTTGTGCAAAATATGACATTTATATTCAAAATATTCCTGGTCTTACAAGGAATCCAGCAATGTCAATTATATTATCCTAACTTTAGTTTGAGGTATTATTTATTACTATACCTGGTTTTCCCCCAAAAATTTCTCAGAGGGAACAGCCAGCGAGTGTACTGTGAGAAGAGGGGGAGGGAGTCGTGTCCATTATATGAATGGACATTAACTTGGCGACTGTATTTCTCTATTTCTCTTAAGTATTAATTGTGTGCATGTACCATCATAAATTAAGATGTTATTTTTACTACAACATAGTTATGTGTCGTCAAAAAGTGGAGTTTGGGGATCGGCCTGGACTCCATTTCAATTAATCCCATATGTTATGTTATTCACTTTACGCATTTCTCGCTTTCCGTGGTACCCTCCGGGTTACATTAACCGCGTAAAGTGAGGGTTAACTGTATACAGTCTGTGCGGAAAGTTAAGTAGCGATAGAGCTGACGAACAAACTTCTCGCGTAAATAAGTTCATATGTTGTGAAGGCTTGGTTGTGAAAGCTTGGTTGGTTGGCAAGTGGTGACACTTGGCAACTGAGCACACGTCACGGCTTACTCTCAGTGCGCCTCTGGCAATCGTGAGGGGAAGATTAACTCTGCGGGTTTGAGCGCCCCGTGGCCATTTTTTGCCTCGTTTACTGTGCATTACCCCAACATAGTGGCCATCAGAGATGTCCAAGGGACGACATTGCAGCAGTGATTGCACTGTATAAAGCAAACCATGAACTGAGAGATGTTTCCGCTCAGACTGGTGTGGGGTTGCGGGGTTGTCCCAATCAATATTTCTGAAGTTGAAATCCCCCATAATGCACAAGTTGTTGTATTTTGCTGCCCTACTCTTTTCCTGCCATATGGACTGAGCTGCTTCTTTCCCAAAGACTTGGTGGCCTGTAAATTACTCCCATAATTAGTTTTTCTCTTCCTTCCGCAATTTCTACCCATACAGACTCGGTTCTTATTTCACCCTTTATTGTATTATTAATGCAACATTTTAATGTATCCCTGACGAAGAGTGCGACCCCTCCCCCCTTCCTACCTTCCCTGTCCTTGTGAAAAAGGTTGTACCCTTCTATGAGGTACTCTGATAAAAAGTTCTTGCTCGCCAGATTCATCCAAGTTTCGGTGATTGCTATGACGTCTACATTCTTGGTACATACAACCGCTCTCAGCAAGTCTATTTTATTTCTAACGCTCCTACTGTTTGTATAGTATACATTGAGAGAACTTTTTGTAGATAATATATTTACAATGCTATTATAACAAACCCCACCTTTTTATCTCAAATAGCAAGATTGCTTTGACTCATTATGTACAATTATCTCTCATGTAGTGCAGTTAAGTGCAGTGAAATGAGTAATAGGCCAGACCTTGAACATCTCAAGGGAGAGCGTCTATTCAAGCCCAAGAGTGTTAAGTGTTCTCTCATTTCACCTCACTACTTCTCAAATTTCCATTACAAAAATATACCGATATAAGGAAAATATATGTTGTTTATGTTTAAGAATTAATCACCATGATTAAAAGTAATTGTTGTTACCCTAGCTCATCAGCCAAGGTGGAAGTGGGTCCAGGCACCTCATCAGGTCACGGGAACATGAAGGTCACAGTGTTTCATCAATTGCCTGGTCACATAGCTCTAGTGAGGTGTATATTGGGGATATTTCAGGCAGAGTGTCAGTCCTCTACATCCCCAAAAGTAAGGTATGAGTAAAAAAATTTAATCTTTTTATTTCGCTCCTTCACTGCAGGGATGCCACTTTTAATATTTATTTAGCCACTGCCAGACAATTTTATTCATCACAGATGGGATCCCATGCACAAGTGGTCAAAAACTATGTAACCCACACCTGTATAGTACTGTATTGTATAGCTTTCTGTTGAATTTATTGTTCTGTATATGATCTGTTTAGTTATAGATATTTTAGATATCTGATGAGATCAGCTGCTTGGCAGCTAAATATATTTTACATTCAACATTGAGTGTTACTTTGTCTAATAATAAACAGTATTTTGTAATAATTGTATTATAAGATGATTGAGATTTTGTTAAAAATAATCCTAAGATACTTGTTTTTCACATAAACTCTATGTAGAATTATGCAAAGAACAGACTAATATAATTTAAAGACTATAAATATCAATACAATTGATATACAGAACAGTGGTCATAGATAAATAAAAGACTATAAATACAGTTGTATTAATATTAACTGATCATTAGACAGAGGATCAATAGTAATGTCCATTTACAATAACAATGTTATTCTTGAGTCATGCATACATGTATACTATATATATACAGTACTGTATGTGTATGTTGCATTCAGGTAATTCTCTTTTTGCCAGCTTGTAGTGCACCATCTCTTCTTGTAGAGGAGGACACCCATTCAGTTTTTTACCCTTCCCACTTGCTAACACAATCTTCCAATTTCTCACCTATTTTTCTAATAAAACCTACATCTTAACTTTTCTTTCAGCTTCCTTCTTCCCCTGTATCTCTGATTTATTTTCACCCTTTCACCGCATTATCTGATGTCATAATTATTTCCAAAAAGTGTCATTAAGTCACCAAAAAATTACAGTTCTAATTTGAGCATTTTTATTACTTTTATATTATGATAATAACATGAAGTTTCCATATCTGGCACGAAAATTCGTTTGAAAAGTGGGTAGTTAGTGAAAATTAATGTTTTTTTATGAAAAATATTGAGATAATAATGTTTTGTAGCTTAGGTATTCTGTAGGTAAAGTGTTCTGAGGAACTCATTTGTTGTCAAAATTGCCTCCAAAAGTTATTCACCACAGTAAATTCATTTTTCATGTATATTATAACCAGGTTTTTAGCTCCAATATTGGAACCTCACCCAGAATGATTTTGGGAGAAACCAAACAAAACAGTTTATTTAAACACATTTATTTCATTAACCATATGAAGCTTGCATATACAGTGGGATCTTATTTTGTGCGGGCATATTGTACTGGGACACATCCATGCAGGTGATGCCCTTTAACATGTGTTAAAATGGCTTTATTGTACTGGACTAGCCAGATCTTTACTCTAAAATTAATTTTGGTCACCAACTTAACCTTCCATAAACTGCATCTACATTACAGTAGTACCCCGCGGTCAATTGAACCCACAGGTACCGTGGAAAGTGAACAACAGAACATATGGGATTAATTCCAATAGAGACTGGCCCGACCCCCAAACTCCACTTTTTCTGACACAATACCTATGTTGTAGTAAAAATAACATCTTAATTTTATGGTGGTATGCATACACAATTTATATTTAAGAGAAATACAGTCGCCAGGTTAATGTCCATTCAAATAATGGACTCAACTCCCCCTCTCTCTTCCCAAGCTCGCTGGCTCCTCCCTCTCTGAGAAATGTTTGGATGAAAACACTAGATTTTAAGGTATAGTACAGGTGGACCATCAAAAATCCGGCAATCGATAAACCGGAACCTTCAAATTTTCCGGCATGGATTTCGGAGCGCATTTTCAAATTTCCTGCCTTGGCGCACCATTGTTTTCTGGACGCGCCCAGTGACGGGTTAAGACTTTCGTAGGCCTTAGGCACCTCCAAGATATGGGGCCCCATTTGACAGCATATTCACTAATAACACAAGCTAGTACCTAATTATAAAATGTGATGTCGAAAGAATAAGATTCAGTGATGTTTGCCATGAATTGAGTAAAAGAAAATGGGTTAGATCAGCTGTTCTTGTACAGTACAGAAATAGTTTTGTTTACAAGAAGCACAGCTAGCTGGTGGACACTAATAGGATTAAGTAATAAATAAATGGAAAAAAAGTACCTCAGTATCAATTTATTAATAACCTTTAGAAAAAGGGGAAGAAAGGTTCTCGTTTTATTTTTCGTAGGCTCCCAATATCTCGTAAGCTCACGTGCCGTTTTTGTTTTGATAGCGCTGTACTCCAGAATCAGCTGTTGGATCTTGCTTGCACCTGCTAACAAGCATTCATGCTCATTCCTTCTGATTTTATCATTTAATTGCTGCTGTATAGCCCCATCATGGATTCAGCAAAGAAAAGCGGTGGCGTAAAACGTAAACATCGTGCGTTGTCGATCGCAGAGAAAGTGGAAGTGCTTAAAAAACTTGATAGCGGCGTGTCTGTGCGAACCATTTGTGAAACATACAGCATCGGCTCTTCAACAGTGTATGATATTAAAAAACAGAAAGAAAAACTGTTAAAATTCTTTTCTGACAGTGGATCAAAAAGCAAAATGTTTGTAAGGAAGTCAATGTCGGAGGGAAAACGTGCGGAACTAGACCAAGTTCTCGTAACCTGGTTTAAACTTCGTGTAAATGAAGGTGTGGAAATTTCTGGTGATTTATTAAAGGAACAAGCCAAAGTGTTTCATGAAGAGCTGGGATTGCAACACAAGTGTGACTATACAGAAGGTTGGCTGCAACGTTTCAAGTCGCGACATGGCTTACAGTTTCGTGCAGTATGTGGTGAAAAACGTTCAGCAGACAAGGATGCAGCTAGTGCCTATGTGGATGAATTTGCAAAGTTAGTTAGTGATGAACATTTAAGGCCTGAACAAGTGTACAATGCTGACGAGACTGCCTTATTTTGGAGATGTACGCCAAAAAGAACTCTGACAACTGAGGATGCAGAATCGCCATCGGGGTTTAAAGCTTCGAAGGATCGCGTCACGGTAATGTGCTGCTCTAATGCTGCGGGTACCCATAGATGTAAGTTGCTTGTTATCGGAAAGTCCGGAGAGAAATGCCTGTACAGGTAGTGATGAAGATGAAAGCAGTGAAGAAAATGAGGAAGATGTGAGAGACAGAATCTCTATTGACAGGTTAATTGCGTTGACAACTGAACTGCTGGCTGGACTAGAGCAACGAAGTTTTGTAAGTGAACAAGAAATCATGAATGTTTTCTTGCTCCAAGATAAACTTATTAGAGAAAGACCCAAGTATATGAAGCAACAGACATTGCCCGATATATTCAAGAAAATAGCTAGGAAGCAGGAAGCAGCAACAGCGGTGTCCACACTTGATAATCCACTGCCATCAACTTCAAGACAAGTTGAAGCTGTTCCTGTTGCTGAGAATGTTGTCACTGTCAGTGATAAAGATGATAATTCTGACAGCCCATCTGCTGTTTAGCCTGATAAACATTAAAATTTCATTTGATTTTCATTTAGTGTTTAATTTTCTATTTTTTTAAAGGACTGTACACCCATATGTAATTCTGTAAGTTTTGTTTATTTAGGATTTGTAGCAGCCATGCTCTCTTTTGAAAGAGAAAAATAGTGTTATATATATATATGTATGTTTATATGCTGCCTTTATTAAATATATATATTATATATTATGTTACTTCTTACCAAAGTCAGAAAGTGTTTAGGCTTGTGTAAACACGAAATGTGTTAGGCACTTTGTAACCAAGAACAGAGAATATACAGCCAGCCAGACAGACCATGCGACTCTTCATTCTCCCTTTAAATAATGCAAGATACTACAGATGTAACAGTTTTTTAACTGAAATGATTCGAAAACACGTACCCTCTAGCCCTGTTCAAGGAGAGGACTGGGAGAAGCTGTTTGGTGCTGCAGACGATGACAAGGAAAATGATTTGGATGGATTTTAATGAAAATATTCAGAAATATGGTATCGTAGTATTTATTCAAGTCAATTAGGATAGGATATTAATGTAATACAACAGTTTTTTTACTGAAAACCAATCGAAAAGCGATTACGGTAACATCTTTTGAACGAAAGAAAGCGAAAGTCATTGTTTTCGTCACGATTTTGTCCCACTTTCCACTAATACCTACGTCATTTCAGCAAAAATATTACATTTTCGTGAATGCATTATATCAAGCAGAGTATGAATAGAATACCATTGTAATATAACAGTATTTTAACCAAAAACTATTAAAAAAACGAGTAACTTCTCTAGAACATCGGAAGGTTAGGTAAAGTCTTTTGTTTTCGTCATGTATTTTATCCTATTTTACATTAAAATACATCACGTTTCAGCAAAACTACTATTTATTTCCGAGAATATATTCATTCAGGCACAGTTAAGGTAAAATATACATGTGATGTAACAGTTTTTTAACTGAAAACGATTCGAAAAATACGTGTACCGTGTAGCTGATACTCAACAGCTGGTGGTGCGTCATGTGTCGTTGTAAACAATAGGAGGTTGAAGTAGATTACCGGGTATTATATTAAGTGTGAAATATCAAAAAGGTTTTTATTCCCGGTATTTTTTGTAGATCAATGAGAACTGTGATACCGTATATGATATGATAAGTTAGCCTGTGCTAAGAACTTCAACATAGGCTGCTGAAAACATGTTGTAAGGTAATTTAGCCTATTGTAAGTTGGTGAGCTTCATTTGCTGAAGGAACTGCACAACTTTTCATTACTAATTGGTACAAATTTTACGTTTCCATTGTTTACTGGCAGTAAATGGTAAATATTTTTCATGTCTGAAGCTAAAAGTTGCATCCCCCCCCCACACTAGTGGTGATGTTACATTTGACCAAAAAGACTGTGGTGTTTTATCCCAGCAGTGGGTGGACCAGCATTTTAGCTGAAGGTCCGCATAGGTAATATTCCTACAAATCTTAAAAAAAAAAAAAAAAAAAAATGTTCATTCAGATTTTGTCCGAATTATCCGAAATCCGGATTAACGGGGTCCGAATT